AAAAAAAAAAAAAAAAAAAAATTCTCTGAAAGTCAAACTAGAAATCTCCATTTTTAACAAGCACTCTTGGTGATTCTTCTTTACAGAGAATAATGCTCCAGCAAAACCATACTCTTGCATATAGTTTGTTAGATAGATTATGAATTCAAATTATCTACTCTGTTTCTTCAATACCATCAAACCTATATATCCATTGTCAATATTCTGCAACCACAATTAAAGATGCATCCTAGAGGGAAAGACAAGTAACATTAATATATTCTACAAATCTAGGGAAAAGCCATAATAAACAAAGAAACACATATGCAGTAATCTCAGAGGACCTGAAAACAACATGTAGCTTCTCTTGCTGCCTCTACTTATTCCAGGGCTTTTAAAAATTAGTTCCTATTCATAAAAAAATTAGTGACCTAAGGCCTGTTAAAATCTAGATAATGAAATAACAGAAAATTATCTCTAGTACTAGTCCACATTAGTGGTCATTTTCTAAAACAAAGGTATGAGAAAATTAAGTTTATATTTTAAACTAGAAGCTATGAGCTAAAACTTATTTCCTTACTTTTTCTTCAAATAGCAGATCATTCCAAATATTTTTTCTTCTTTCCTTAATGGCTGAGCACATAATCTTTCAGAATAAAAGCAAAATTTTCTAACCTCTCTCTGATTATGTAACTAAGTTTGAGCCAGCAAAAATAAACATAAGTGGCTCCTATAAATTTTCCTTAAGACAATGGTTCTCAACCTTTGTAATGCCACGGCCCTTTAATACAGTTCCTATAGGTCACAACCCACAAGCTGAGAACTGCTGCCTTAAGAGAAAGGTAATTACCATTAAACAACTGGAGGTGGCTGTTTTATTATAAAAAAAAAGTTTTAAGTCTCTTTCTGGGCCTTTATCTAAACTTCACACTGTCTTAATCAGAAGCATTCAACAATTATTCTAAAAGCTTTCCCTCCTCTCTGTTATCTGTATGTTAGTCCTCTGATATCAAAGTTTTGCCTCCCTAGCAACTTCTGATCACTTAGCATTTGCAAAAAAAAAAAAAAAAAAAAACACACACACACACACACACGTATACTCTGGACTCATTTTTATGACTAATAATCTCATACAGTGTTTTTACATAGTATCCTGATGAATATCATTATCAAACAGAATAAAATTCCATAGTTATTTAGAAGTACTTAGACTACATCATAATAAATTCTTGTTTTGGAGACAGGATCTTGCTCTTTCACCCTAGCTAGAGTACAGAGGCATCATCCTAGCTCACCACAATCTGAAACTCCTGTGCTTAAGCAATCTTCTGCCTCAGTCTCCTCAGTAGCTAGGACTACAGGCTTGAGTCACCATGCCAGCTAATTTTTCTATTTGTTGTAGAGATGGGGATCTCACTCTTACTCAGGCTGGTCTTGAACTCCTGACCTCAAAACTGATCTTCCTGCCTCAGTCTCCCAAAGTACTAGGATTACAGACATGAGCACGACACCCAGCCCTTCCAAAATAACTTTTATGAGAATGGAGCTTTCTAGAGATTAACATTTAAAATTCCAAAAACTCTTAAATGTTATAGTAACTAATGGTACCAAACATATTCAGTATATAAATCTATATACGCACATAAGTGTGTGTGTGTATCTGAGCCCCCAAGGAATATAGTAGAACCTCTCTAAGTTGACCACCCAAGAGACTGTGTAACAAGCTGGTGAACACATGGAGGTACTCAACATAAAAACTATTTAATACATGTGGTGCATGTCCAGCTTATGAAAATTAGGTCAACATAAGGAAGTGGTCAATGTAAGGAGGAGGTCAACTATGGAGGTTCTACTGTATATCACAATTATTTACAACACTAAGAGCTTTAAATTTTGCTTTAAACATACCTGGAAAAGAGCCATACTGAGCTCCTGATTGTCGTCTGGCTTCTTCCTCCTTTAATATAAAAAGGAAATAAATTGAATAATTAAAAAAAAGTCTGTCCACCCCTAACCTATCTGTGCAAAATCATAACCAAACTCTAAAATAAGGTAGTAGAGGTCTTACAAAAATGATAAGTTTCAAATTTCAATACTAGACTAAAACATACACTCCATATCCCTCTCAAAAAATTTCCCAACTAGATTCTCAGTGAATTATCATTCTTTTTTCTTTTTTTGGAAACAGGATCTGATTTTGTCACCCTGGGTAGAGTGCCATGGCATTACAGCTCACAGCAACCTCAAACTATTGGGCTCAAGCAACCCTCTTGCCTCAGCCTCCCAAATAGTTGGGACTACAGGCACCCATCACTATGCCCAGCTATTTTTAGAGACAGGGTCTCGCTCTGGCTCAGGCTGGTCTTGAACTCCTAAGCTCAAGCAATCCACCTGCCTCAGCATCCCAGAGTGTGAGCCATAAGTGTAAGCCACTGAGCCCAGCCAATGAACATCCTTCTTTTTTTTTTTTTTTTTT